AGGAGGAGGAGGAGGAGGAGGAGGAGAGAGGAGGGGAGGAGGGAGGAGGAGGAGGAGGAGGAGGAGGGGGAGGAGGAGGAGGGGGAGGAGGAGGAGGAGGAGGAGGAGGAGGAGGAGGAGGAGGAGGAGGAGGAGAGGAGGAGGACAGGACAGGACATCCGCATAACGATGCATGGTTGATGGTCGTGCCTAGGAAGGAGCAGGATGAGGGTGTTTCAGAAGGGGCAGTAGAAGAGGATGAGAAACAACAGAGACGATCAGAGGATCATCATTCGTAGAAGCAGTAGGGTTGATGATGCTGATGATGCAGATGCTGATGATGATGCTGATGATGATGATGATGATGATGATGATGATTGTGGTGATGCTGCTGATGATAATGGTGACGATGATGATGGTGATGATGCTGCTGCTGATGATGATGATGATGATGATGATGGCGGTGATGCTGATGTTGATGTTGATGATGATGATGATGATGATGATGATGACGATGTTGTGTCTGCTGGTGATGAAGGTGGTGATGCTGATGCTGCTGATTATGATGTTGATGATCTTGGTCAGGATGAGGATGATGATGCTGATGATGATGAGGATGATCATGATAATGATGATGCTGATGCTGCTGATGATGATGCTGCTGCTGCTGATGGTGATGCGTATGCTTATGACGATAATGATAATGCTGATGATGTTGTTGTTGATGATGATGATGATGATGCTGATGATGATGATGATGATGATGATGATGATGATGATGCTGATGATGATGATGATGATGATGATGATGATGATGATGATGATGATGATGATGATGCTGATGATGATGATGATGATGATGATGATGATGATGATGAGTTTGCTGCTGCTGATGCTGATGAGGAGGAAGACGAGGAGGAGGAGGAGAAGGAGGAGGGGGAAGCGGTGGAGGAGTAGGAGGAGGAGGAGGAGGAGGAGGAGGCCGCTTGCCCCAGAGGCAGGAGGAGATGAAGCCAGGTTCCTGTTCCGGTCCTCCCGTCCTGCTCCCGCCGTGGCTGTTCTCTCATTCTCTCTCTCTCTCTCTCTTCCTCTCTCTTTCTCTGTCTCCTGCACTTCCCGTCCCTCCCCTCTCCAATCCCCCCAGTAGGCGCAAAAAGTTATCTTTATAAATGCGCGCGAAAACATAATATATGCACGATTCTGATTATTTATGTTATGCTTTGCTACAGTTATGCTCACATTATATCATAATCGTAATAATAATCATAATCATAATAATCGTCTGTAATCGTAATCATCATGACGATCATCCTCCTCCTCCTCCTCCTCCTCCTGGGGTCGCTTCAAGGTTCGACGTTTTGTCAGTCGGTGGACCTTCGCCCCCCGCCATGTCCAGTCACGAGCAAGGGGGCCTGTGGCACGAAGCGTCCCGTTCTCTACCTCCTCTTCTTCCTTTTTCTCCCCCTCTCCCCGCTGCCATTTAGGCTCAAGGGATTGAGGGGAACCCATTCCACGACTTTGCCAGCAGATGGCGTCGAGCCGAAGCCCGCGGCCCCTCACTTCGAACTTCAGTGAAGCGCAGTTGAAGCAGCAATGGAGCGGCCTCGCAAAATTGAAGAAGCCAGGATTCTCGTGGGACGCTAGCTCGTACCAAGTTTCCACGCGCACAGAGAAGCCAGACCTGGAGTCCCTTGAGAACCACGCAAGGGCAGCAAGGCCCTTGATTGAGCTTGCCCCGACAGGCTTCCCGAGCATTGTGAACTTGCGAAATGTGTTCGTCCAACTACACAAAGAGTACAACATCTTTGACTCGATTGACGACCGCCATGTATGGAAAACCGCTACCGACGCCAGCGACAAATGGCGGATAGTGTGCAAGCACGTGTACAACCTCAAGAAGGCTGGCGCTTCCGACTCGTTGGCAGAGTACCCGCAGCTGCAAGGCTTGGTTGGCCTCATCCAGCTTCCCAAGCCGAAGGTGCCAGCCGCTGCAGAGAGCCCTGGTGGTGGCGAGCCTGCTCCTGACGCGCCTGGCGGCATTGCGCTCGAGGACGTGGCAAGCATGTTCCCAATCGCCGACTCTGACGACGAGTTGGGCCCCGAAGACGCGGACGAGGAGTGCTACGCTGTGGAGGCCGAGGAGTGCGAGTTCGCGGACGAGGAGTGCTACGCTGTGGAGGCCGAGGAGTGCGAGTTCATCGGCATGGTGTGTCGCTGCCCGAAGTGCCGCCCGCAGGCATCCGCCCCCTCGGCCGCCTCCACGTCTGCGGCTGTTGCTGGAGACCATGCGGTGCCGATTCCAAACCCAAAGAAAGGGGGCCAGAGGGCTGAGACGGAGGCCGACGAGGGCGCGCCCACCGAGAAGAGGAGGAAGATGAGGAGGCCTGCTGCCGCGAGGATGCGGAGGCCTGCAGCTGCTACGGGTGGCGTGCCAGAAGCTCCAGCAGGCAATAAGAAGCAGCTGCCCGAGGCGATCACGAGAGAGGTCGCGCTGGTGCACCGCGTCACGGGGATCGCGGAGGCGTACCTCCAGGAGCGCGGGGTCGGCAGTGGCCGCTACGTCGTTGGCCTCACGATTTCCAAGACGGAGCGCTACCTCGACATCATGACGGCCTGCAAGGACAAGATCGACGCTGGCGAGCTGACCACGCGGTCAGAGGTTCGGAAGTGGGTTGCCGAGCAGTTGTAGATCGCGCTGGGGGCCTCTCTTCAGCACTCGCGCTCGCGCGCTCGCGCTGGGGGCCTCTCTTCAGCACTCCCTCCCTTCAGCGTCGGCCTCCGACGCCCTAGGACTACGTAAGAGGAGTCTCCAGGCAGGAGCTGCTGAGATCACAGGTGTGTGCCATTTTCCTGGCGATACGTTCTCAGGAGAGGGGAGTCAGCAAAACAAGAAAACATCGTCACCATCCATCATCATGGTTGCCACTATGATCAACAGCATCGCCATCGTCGACGTCGCGTCGTCGCCGACACCGCAATCGCCGTCGTTGGAGTGGGAGGAGGAGGAAGAGGAGGGGGAGGAGGAGGAGGAGGAGGAGGAAGAGGAGACGGAGGAGGAGGAGAAGGAGGAGGAGGAGCGAGGAGGAGAAGGAGGAGGAGGAGGAAAAAACTACCACATATTTGAAACCTATTTTAACGCAAAGGTAAGTTGGACGTTCGAAAACGTGGGGATTCGATTACCCGCAACGGAACCACTTTTGGCAATTCCGACGGCCTTGAGAATATGATAAGATTCAAACGACATGCCCATCGTAGCCGCCGTCATTCCGTAACCATTTGGCTCAAACGCTTTGAGACCAAGCCGGCCACACTGCCACGCTACCCGCAGACATCGCACCGACAATGGCCCCTAAGGCGAGTAAGGCGCAGATTGAAGGCCAGTCTTCGTTGCTCGGATGTCTGTTCGGAGTGCCAAATCAGCCGATTACGCCGAAGCCCGAGCAGGCCAGGGCGGCGAGGCCGAAGTCTGCGCCGCCGAAGGTGGCGGCCGTACCAGTGAAGACCGAGCCTACTGGACCACCGAAGAGGGCTGCGTCGGGAACACCGACAGCTGCGAAGTCGGCCCCTGCGACGCCTGCTGGTTCTGAGCGGAGTTGCGGTGGGTCGACGGCCCCCTCCACAACATCTTCATGGACACCTGCAGCCTCGATCGCGCCGTCCACGCCAATGATGAAACACGAGGTCAAGAACGACTCCTGGTTGACGCAGGACAAGGCCAAGTACAACAAGTTCGACTACCGCCTCAAGAGGTCATCCAACGACTTGAAGGAGCTGTGGGCCGAGGTGCGGAAGAACGGAACGCGGGGGGACCAGGAGCTGCTGTACGAGAGCATCCTGAACAACAAGCCGAACGACGTGCCAGAAGACGTGATCAAGCGCACCAGGTCGCGGATCTCCGACCACGTCGACGAGGAGAAGGGCGAGTGGGTGTCATTCAAGTTCTTGGCCGATCGGGACGGCTACGAGTTGACGATGGAATGCATCGAGGCTGGCACGATCGAGGTGAGGCCGAACCCGAAGTTACCGAGAACGAGCAAAATCGAATACCCTTGGAACCAAGAGTGCCAGTTCGTGACGGAGGGCTGGAGGAAGACTGAGACGGCGAGGGACACCGACACCATGAAAGAAATCAAGGACGGCACCGAAGATATTGCGAGCTTCCACAATGACCGCAATAATCTCATCACCAGGCCCAAGCACATGATTGCGCGCCACCACAAGGGGGGCAGCGATGGTGGTCTGCCGAGCAGCGCGCCAGAGGACTCCGCAAAGAAGGAGCAGATCGAGAAGTCGAAGTCGGCGATCCAGGCGTTGAGGAAGGTCCACTCGGGGTGGGATCGGGCACGGAGGGAGTTTAATGCGGTGCTCGCGCAGTCGGCGACGTGCCAGAACTCGCAGGGTTCCAAGATCGAGGCTGACGTCAGGGCTCTCATCGTGGAGGCCAACGACATGGACGACATGGCCGTGCTCGTCGAGACCACTTTCCTGTCCAACGGCGTGCTCACGGACTCCGAGATTCAGACTGCGGCCGAGCGCTCGAACCAGCTGTTCGACCTCTCGAGGGCGTGCAAGCGGAAGGCCGACGCCTTGAAGGGCTTGTTCAACGTGTGAGCTGCAGAGCTTGCCCAGCCTAGGTGCGCTGGGCAGGGAGGCAACCCAGATTCAGAAAAAAAATCAGAATTCTGAATCCGAATCTGAATCTGAATGATGCTTTTATTGTAAAACACAATAGAACGCAACATTCAGATTCAGATTCAGAATCAGAATTCTGAATCTTTTCTGAATTTGCTGGGTCACCTGACTTGGGGCGTGGAGCTACTAGATCGATCTGCCTCCGCCGCGCTAGTGCCTCCGAACCTGTTGACTGCGAGCAGTCTGCAAGTGCATTGGCACGCGCACATTACATCAAGGACGGGCGCCAAGTGTCTGGCGATGCGGCTTCCAGGGGGGGCGCCAAAGGAAAAAAAACCGTCGACGGTTTTATTTAGTATATGTCTAGACGAGGAGGAGGAGGAGGAGGAGGAGGAGGAGGAGGAGGAAGAGGCCGTTCGAAGCATCTGTACTTCTTGCGGGTGTGGCGGCCTGCGGTCTCCCCAAGAATCCCCCATGCCCGATGCCCTCCTCCTCCCCCTCCCTTCCCCCTCTGTCCTTGGCTGTCCCAATCTGTGCATGCCAGGCGGCGCCAGATCGAATCTTCGATGCACCCAGTAATGATGTGCTACTCGATAATGCCTCCGACTATTGCCTACCACCCCTCCTCCGCCGCCTCCTCCTGATGCTCCTCCTCCTCCTCCTCCTCCTGAGCCTCCTCCTCCTCCTCCTCCTCTGGCAGTGCTGCCAACATGTTTCTATTGAAGTAGAAACATGTTGGCAGCACTGCCAGAGTGTTGCTACCCTCCTCCTCATCCTCCTCCTCCTCCGCCTGGGCATTCATTTCTTGGGCGCTATTTCCTGGGGCTGCTCGACGTACGCTTCATCATCAACCAACATCGCCACCGTCATCATCATCATCATCATCATTATCATCATCATCAACAACATAATCATCCATCACCATCGCCATCACCATCACCATCGTCATGATCATGATCATGATCATCGTCATCATCATCATCGTCATCGTCATCATCAACATCATCATCTTCATCCGTAGCCGTTTGGGCTCGAGAAATTAGCTGTATGCTGCGTGCACTATGGGAGCGGCCTCGGAAGCGCCAGAGGCGCCGCGGCGGATGGCGACAACGCATGGATGCTTCTTCCAGCGAGGAAGATAGAGATGAGGGGACTATTTCGATACTGGCTGCAGGGCATTTGCTCGAATGGAGCGACGGCGAATCGTCGGCCGTCCGCGTTGTACAACACATGCTCAACGCGAGAGCAGATGGGCTCTGCCACCCGATGGTGGATCGGATTGCTGGCGTTGGCACGTCACTACATGCTCATGCAAGGCTGCGCACGCTGTTCACGAACGTCGGCGTTGGAAGTCTGCTTACGACAATGCCTCCAGGCGGCGCCGTGGACACCCTCTGTTTGCCTTCATCGGTGGTGAGATTACTGCACGGCGACTTCGCGAGGGACTTCAGGCTGCGTTTGGGCGCGGATTCTTCGAAGTGCCGTGCTTTCTGGGAGGGGTTCCTAAGTCGACCAGAGACATCCGCGTGGGCTGCTGCCCACCCCTTCTTGAAGAACAAGACTGTAGCCGACCTTGTGTGTGCCGTCCCGTGCGTGCTCCACACAGATGCGGGGCCGTTTAGCAAGTCGGCCAGCACGAATTGCATTTCGTGGTCATCCATTCTTTCCGACGGCCCCGAGAAGCTAACAAAGTATTTGATTTGCTCTTACGTGAAGGAATCTGGAGAAGTGGACGCAGCGTGCTGGTCACGCATTTTGACCGACTTCGACGCCTTAGCCAACGGTTCTCTCGACGGGGCGCCCATCGCAAGCAGCGGGAGGAAGCAATGGCGGTTCATCTTGTTGTCCGCCAAGATGGACGAGGAGGCACGGTGCAACGAGTTTGGGTGGCAGCATTTCTCGGCAGAGGAGCCGTGCAGCGAGTGCATGGCTGATCGCGTGCATCGGCCTTTCACAGACGCTCGAGCCGAAGCGCGTTGGAGACCCACCGAGCGCATGGCATTCCAGACTTGGATCGCCCGGGCTCGCACGCCTTTGCACCCATTTCTGAGGAGCCACTACTGCTGCTCGCGGTACAGCATGTTTCCCGATCTGATGCACAATGCAGATTGCAAAGGCGTGGCTGCGACTGTTTGGGGCGGGGTCCTGGCAACGCTTGTGGCGAAGAGGGACTTGGGGCCGAACCAGGCAGCTCGCCTCCAGGTGATCAACGGTTTCATGCGCGAGTGGTATGATTCACATCCAGGGGTGATCAGACTGCCAGAGCTACGAAAGTCGAATATTTTTCAAGATGGGTGGGCAGAACTCCACGGCCAGGCGGTAAAATCGGCCATGACTCGAGCAGCCGCTCCCATGTTCCAGGCCCTCGTGAGGAGGTATCTCAACAGCGGTTCTGCCGAGGACGTCGCCATTCATGCGGTAGTGGACAGTATCAGCGAATTTTACACACTCATTTACGAAGCCCCGCTGTACATCCCAGATTCGGTTTCGCTTCGCTTGGAGGCTGTTTGCCTCAAGTTCGGCATTAATTACCAACGTCTCAGGGACATCTCGCGTAGAACAGGGCGGTTGTGGTGGCCAGTGCGGCCGAAACATCACAAGTTTCAGCATTGGCCATTCTTCAGCAGGGTATTGAATCCACGTTTCATCCAGTGCTACAACGAAGAATCGTTGATAGGCAGTGTTTGCAAGATTTGGAAGAGGTCGATATCGGGTAGGTACAGGCCGCACGTCCAGGGCACAGTCTTGCTCAAAAAACTTGTTGGATTGATGTTGCGATGCGAGCTCTGATGCCACCACAAGAAAAAACAATCATAGAGGCTTGCGCCGAGCCGCTGACCCAGAAAGGACACGGGGAAGGAGGAGGAGGAGGAGGAGGGGGATGGGGGAGGAGGGGGAGGAGGAGGAGGAGGAGGAGGAGGAGGAGGAGGAGGAGGAGGAGGAGGAGGGGAAGGACGGGGGAGAAGGAAAGAGGCTCTCTCAGGGACCGCAGAGAGGTGCACGCAGGCAGTGTGGCGCACACAGGCATTTAAGGTGTGAACAGGCACTGCGGTGCACGTAGCAGTATGGTACACGCAAACGATCGCGGGCGATGTAAACACATACGCACACGCATTGTGGCGCACACGTGCGCCATGGTGCACGCATACGTGCTGGCGCACACACGGAGTAGGACGTGCGCAACCAGTATGAAGTGGGCGGGCTCTGTCTTGCACGCGAAAACTGAGATGTACGCAGGAGCTGTGGTGCACGAAAGCACTGTGTTGCTCGTAAGCCTCTCGGTGCGCGCACGCATTGTGGTGTGAGCGAGTATTGTGGCTCAAGCAAACGATATGGTCAAGCTTTGTCCTGGTGCGCAAGATGCGGGCTCAATGACAAGGCTCGAGGCTCAATACTATGAACGTAGCATAGCAGAGCAGAACATCGCATCATATAGCATGATCGAACATATCATCATACAGCGTATCATAACATAACATAACATAAACCATAACATAAAACATAACATAACATAACATAACATAATTACATATCCGATTATATTATGTTATGATTTGGCTGAGACAAGTTACGTATATTTATGCGCACGTGCCCATAACATTCGAAATTATAAAACTAAACGTCTGGGGCTACTGGGCCCCTCTCCCTTCCCCCTCCCCTTCCCAATCCCCGTCCCCAATCCCCCTCTCCCTCCCCTCCCCTCGCCCCTCCCTCTCCGCTCCACCCCTGCTCCCCCTCCTCCCCCTCCCCTCCCCCTCCCCCTCCCCTCCCCCCCGCCCCCCCTCATATTGCCTCTGCTCTCCCCTCTCTCTCCCCCGTTCCGCTATTTCTCCCTCTCGCTCCCCTCCCATCCCCTCCTTGTGCTTCCCCGCCCCCTTGACCGGCGGAGCACCGTCGCGGACGGCCCTCTTGGCCTCCTCGCCCTCCGAGGAGTACACGCTCATGGTAGACACCGGGAAGCTGCCCACTGCCGCGACGCACGGCGACGTGTACCTCCAGCTCTTTGGCAGTAAGGACCCCTGTGCTGGGTCCCGGGCGACGGCAAGGGGTGGAGCTAGAGAGCCATGCGTCATCCCCGGTCACTGCCATGAAGGAAAGACGTCCTGAGGTTCTGTATTGCGTTCGACTTCCCGGGGCCCTGCGTGGATCCCAGGCCCGCCAAGACTTACGTGGATAGCCAGGATGATGAAATTGGTCCTTGGGAAATCCCTGTGATACCTGACAGACTTCTCGAACGTTCCCCCATGCTGATGAGCATACCACCCTTCCACCTTCTATTTTTCAAACTTGTGTCGACCCTTCGAGAGTACTCTCAGAGCGTGAATTACCTACCCCGCTTTCGCTTCCAGGCAAAACCAACTCATACCATACGCCTCCTCGTCAAGCGGCCTGACCAGTACATGCCGTAGTTTGGCATCGCTTGGTATCTCTTGGAAGCGAGGGTGGTCAAAAGCGAGGTCGGTTTGGTTGCCCCCTATACTCAGTAATGCATGAGGCTGCTCCATCGCGGCACTTTTTGTTCGCATTCTCGACAAAGTCGTAGAGACGGCTTTGAGGTGTGGGATGTGGAGGCGGGAGAGGCGGAGACGAGCCAGGAGGGAGATCAATTTACACATGCTAACCAACGCGGACCCCAGACAGTGTGTCCCTAGCGATGTAGGTTATGTAACATATTTCGTGCAACCTATATGTTGCTGGCACAACGAAATGCAGTGTAGTAAGTACGGTAGATATATGCATACATGTGTTGCTATATAGGTACACGTATGTACATGCCAACTACAAAAGTTGTACAACTCAACAGATGCAGGATATCATCTATTTCGTCACATCTACATTGTGCAACCTATGTTGCGCAATGTACGTGACGCAATCTAGGTTGTGCAATCTATGACTTGTGCTATCTATGACTCGGGCAATAGGGCCCACACCGGGGGGCCTCCAGGGCCCTCTCGAGCCCAAAAGGGCACCTCGCAGGGCCCGAAGAGGGCACCTCGTGCAGTCACCCTGCTGCCAGGGGGGAGGAGGAGGAGGAGAAGGAGGAGGAGGAGGAGAAGGAGGAGGAGGAGGAGGAGAAGGAGGAGGAGGAGGACGAGGAGGAGGAGGAGGAGGAGGAGGGGGAGGAGGAGGAGGAGCCTCGGCCAAGAGCAGGCGCCCCGACCTGCACCTCGGGAGCGGTCCGGGCACCGGAGCCCCTCCCGAACCCGAGCGGGTCCTTGATTCGGCGGCTTGGGCTTGGCCGATGCTTCCTGTCGGTCGCCCACCGCCCAGGGCGGTGGGTCGGAGCCCTAAGTTAGCTCTCCAGCCGTGGTCGCGGACAGAGCCTTCCGCAGCTGCGGCGGCGCGCCGCACCGCTCCCTCGCGCAGCAAGGCTATGGGACGCTGATTTTAAGCTGCCCTGGTACGCCCGTCTTGAGGCGCGACTCGTGCCTTGTTCCACACGTCCGCGTTGACGCGCCGCGTTCTGGCTCGCCACGCGCTGGTCCACGTCACGGCGAGCGTGTCGCGCCAGACCTGCGCGGTCCGCCTTCGTGTGGAGCTCCGTGGTCAGCACGCCAATGTGCTGCGTGCTGCGGGTCGGGCAGCCGAGATGGCGAGCTGCGGCCCCAGTCTGAGTTCGAGTCCATCTCCTCGGCTCCGCCCGCTCGCGCGAGCCCCCGCCAAGGCCGAGCTCCGCTTCGCAGTCGTCGAAGAGCTGCTGGGTGGCCGCGGCGTCGTGGACGTTGGGGCCCTGCTGGCCGAACCCGGGCGGACGCCGGCGCAGGTCCGGGCGCTGCTGTCCATGACAAGCTGCGCTTCGCCACGCTCACCGCGCCCAGCGCCGCGCTCCTCTGCACCGCGGGCGCCGAGCGCCTCGCAGCTGCCGGCCACGCCCTGCAGGCTTATCTGATGGTGTTCCAGCCTGCTCTAGCCTGGACCGCCAGGAAGAGTCTCCAGCACCAGGAACGCGCCGATTTTTGAAAGGTTTTCGCGTGTCGGGCCCAAGGGAGGCGACAGTTGTCCGACACCGCTGCGATCCTTTCCAGGTTGCTCGAACTCCTTGTTTCTGGGATGTGGTCTTGAAGTACCTCATCCTCCTCCTCCTCCTCCTCCGCGCTCCTCCTCCGCGCTCCTCCTCCGCGCTCCTCCTCCGCGCTCCTCCTCCGCGCTCCTCCCGAGGGCCCCCCCCCCCCCTCCTCATCCTCCTCCTCCTCCCTCCTCCTCCTCCTCCCTCCTCCTCCTCCTCCTCCTCCTCCTCCTCTCCTCCTCCTCCTCTCCTCCTCCTCCTCCCTCCTCCTCCTCCTCCTCCTCCTCCTCCTCCTCCTCCTCCTCCTCCTCCTCCTCCTCCTCCTCCTCCTCCTCCTCCTCCTCCTCCTCCTCCTCCGCGCTCCTCCTCCTCCTCCTCCTCCTCCTCCTCCTTCTTCCTCTCCTCCTCCTCCTCCTCCTCCTCCTCCTCCTCCTCCTCCTCCTCCTCCTCCTCCTCCTCCTCCTCCTCCTCCTCCTCCTCCTCCGCGCTCCTCCCGAGGGCGCCTGGGCCCCCCCGACGTCCCCCGGGTGAGCGCCGCCTGCCCCCTCCCGCCGGGGCCCGCCCCTCGCCCTGCAGGGGCCGGGGCGGCTGGCCGGACCGTCCGCCTCCCGGGGGGCGGGGCGGGGCCCGCTGGGCGCGCGGGCCCGCGGCGCGCCTCACCGACGTTGTTTGTTTTGTTTTGTTTTGTTAGACATATTATTATCTTCATTATTTTTTATAATTAGTAATACTATTATTATTAGTGGTATCAATGATATTACTAGTTTGATTCGCATCATTATTCGTAATAATTTTTATTATTAATATTATTCGCATCATCGTTATTATTATTATTATTAGTATTATTATTATTATTATTATTAGTATTATTATTTTTACTATTATTATTATTAGTATTATTATTATTATTGTTATTATTATTATTATTATTTTTATTAGTATTATTATTATTATTATTATTATTATTAGTATTATTATTATTAGTATTATTCGTAGTATTATTAGTAGTATTATTATTAGTCTGAGTGTTACTATGGTTCGTATTATTATTCTTATTTTTAAGGTTTATTATTTTGTGTTAGGATATATTTTTATATTTAAAGAGGAAAACATTAGTTTAACCATATTTTCACATGTGTACATATATATATATATGTGTATAGTATCGTTTTGCGTTTTTGTGTTTTTGTGCCATCTCCACGAGGCGCACTGTGGCAGAGTCAGGGGGAGGAGAAGGAGGGGGAGGGGAGGGGGAGCATGCAGCTAATGAGTTCGGCGCGCCCTGGCGGAAGGCCCGCTTCGGTAGCAGACCCTAAGAGCCTCGCACACCCTCGCAGCTCCGCCTTCAGAGTGCGTTAGCGCCGATTAGCGCCAGGTGCTCGAGAAGCCAGCGCCGATGTAGCGTCGACTCGCACCGATTTAGCCTCGGTCCGCAAGAGCAGACACGATGGTATGGGAGGCCTCCATGAGTTGCCGTAGAAGTCTGCTCACGGCCTCCAGGCCGGCGAGCTTGCTGGGATGACCGGCGCCCTCGTCCAGCGGGTGCTCGCGCGCTGCCGGCAGGTTGTCCGCTCCATTGCCCCTCGGCATCTCCGCCCCCGCCCGAGGTCGTGCCTCGCTGGGCCTCGCGGGCCCGCGCTCTTGCCGGTTTCCTTCGGCAGAGGGCTCTCTCTCTCTCTCTCTCTCTGCGGACTCCAGCGCTGGTCCGATGAGGAAGTGGCGCCTTCCCTCGTACCCGCCTGTATGGGCCTCCTGGGAGGCCCTCGTCGCTATGGCTGGGTTCGCCTCGAGATCCTAGTCCGGACGAGCCCCGGGAGAGGCCTGGGGAGTGGCGGTATGGGTGCGGCCAGCCCGTATCACAAGGATACACGATCAGGATGCA